AACCAGCAGTCGCGTATGGAAGCGAAACATGGACGATAACAAAAAGAGAAGTAAATAAATTGCTGGTGTGGGAACGTAAAATTCTTGGACTGATATAATATGGGTCTTGCAGAGACAGCGTGACAAACGAATGGAGGGTCAGATACAATAACGAGCTAGAGTCTTTATTCGGAAAAGAAACTCTAGTCACATATATAAAGGCCAATAGACTCAGATGGGCAGGACATGTGATATGGGAGAAAATGAGAGTGCAATAATGGAAATTACTGGCACAGGACCGACAAACATGGAACGCAATAGTAAACGCGGCAAAGACTCAAGGCCCGTTTTCACGCTACGTCTTATTGTACGTTTTGTTGGTCATATAAAACGTACGACAAAACGTACGTTTTGTCCAGTGTATACACACTATGTGTTTCCTTCCGACAAGACGTACGTTTTGCTGTTTACACGCCACGTTTTATTGTATAGGATTTGTCATATCCAACAAAACTTACAATAAGACGTAGCGGGAAAACTGGCCTTCACGAAGAGTTGTAGCGCCATTGTGTCTGAATGTAAATGTGTCTGAATTGGAGCCACCGATCTTATAATAAAAGTTTTTTTAGTGGCATAGATCTGACAATTTTCCATTCATAAATTTGATATTAGAAGATACAGTGATAATCATTTAATTTCTATATAAATACCATTTTACAGTATGATTGATTTCACACTTTAACTTTCGGATAAGGATCATTAGAATAATCACGTTAAATTATACCCAGAACTCATACATGAACGACTTCCTAAAATCTATGATCTAACTTAATGATAACACTGATGACACGATAAACTGGCAATTAAAAGAAATCAAAGAGCGCTAAGTATTAACTACAAATAAATGGTTTAACTACTTCAACAATCAAGAAATCCCTGACAAACCCAAATATCACAACAGAGACCATTGTCATCTGGAAGGTCATTCGACAAGAACAAGAGAAAGTACCGAACATAGAGGTGGAGTACGAATAATTGATAACAAACAGTTACCTTGTAACTTTTTTTGAGTACAGTACTTCTTCTATTAGATATTTCAAGAAATTTTTGCAAATTTTTGTATCTAAAGATTTTTGTAACGGAGATCTACAATGATATTTTAAAAACTTTTTTAAAATGAGGTCATTCTTCTGTAATGATTACTTGCAACTTCAACTTCGAAAGCGCTTGGTTAAATGCTACATTTGGTCAGTCCTCTTATACGGTGTCGAAGCATTGACATTAAAAATATCCACCATTAATCGTCTGGAGGCCTTTGAAATGTGGCTGCACAGACGTATACTAAAAATTCCATGGACAGCTATGCTGACAAATGTGGCAGTGCTTGAGAGAGCAAATGCTGCTCGCGAGCTGCTTGATAACATCAAATGCAGAAAGATGGCCCATTTTGGACACGTAGTAAGGGGAAACCGATATAATATTCTTCAACTTATTATGATGGGTAAAATCGAAGGACGCAGAGGAATTGGTAGAAAGTAGACCTCTTGGTTGAAGAATATCATGGAGTGGACAGGAATAAAGAAAGCTGAGCAACTCTTTAGAATAGATCGAGACGGAGACAGTTTTCGCCATGTTAATCGCCAACGTCAAGGTGACTTGATAGGGCACGTTAAGAAGAAGATCTAAAATGCATGGAGCAGCAATGATAGAACCATTAACAACATTATTTATTAAATTATTAAACACCATAAAATACGGAAAGAATTCAGAACGAGCGAACTAATTCTTCTATTCCAAAAAGGAGATAAAAAACAGCCAGAAAACTACAGAGGTATAAACTTTTTAATTACTACTCTAAAACTTACAACTAAAATTTTACAACTGCTAATAAATCAGTCAGAGGATAAGTTTAGCAGATGAAGAACAGGGTTTTCGTAGTGGAAGATCGTGTACAGTGCAATATTCGTTATAAAGCAAATTAAAACAAATATTAAAGTATAATAGATTAGCATTTCTGTGTCTGACCTAAAGAAAGCGTTTGATAGAGTAAGACTCAAACATGTAATCCATGTTCTGTATAATAGAGAAGTTCCCCTAAAAGGTATAAAAAAGTATCGAAAACATCTACCAAAACAACAAAATGGAAGTCAGAATAGATGAACAACTTACAAAACCTATAAAAATGAGCAGAGGAATAAGGCAAGGGGATTCATTGAGCTCCATGCTCTTTAATTTGGTCATGGATGAAATCATCAAAAGCGTTAACAAAGAAAGAGGATACAGAATGGGCAACAAAGAAATAAAAATAATCGGTTACGCAGACGATACAATATTGATAGACCAAGATGAAGATAATCTGCCAAGACTGGTCCACAGATTTAACATAAGAGCAAAAGAATTTAATATGACAATCTCATCTCAGAAAACTAAAACCGTTGTAGTCAGCAAAGAACCAACTAGATGTAAAATGGAAATTTATGGCATCAGTATTGAACAAGTAATTTACAAGTGAAAATACCTGTGAATTCTACTATCTATCTATGGAGACCTGGATAAAGTAGTGAGAGACCAAGTACCTTATGCCTTATTAACACTATATGGCAAACCAGACACGTTAACACTGAGTTGAAGTCAAGAATTTGTAAAGCCAGTATAAGACCAATAATGATATATGCCTCAGAAACAAGACACGACACAGCCACAACGCAAGGGCTACTGTAAACTGCAGAGATAAGAATTCTGAGAAGAATTATAGGAAATACGCTGAGAGATCGAAAGAGACGTGAAGACATTAGAAGAAAATGTAATGCACAGTGTATAAATAAATGTATACAAAATAGAAAAAAAGTAATCTAAGTTCCTGTAGTTGGCTGTATACCATGTTTCACAAAAAAATTATTAAAAATCCTTTATAAAAGTTATATAACTTACAAACCCAATCGGGATATAAGATTGTACGGAAAGTTTTCTATTCTAATTTTTGAAAGGATTGATTATTGTTGTAACACGTGTTGAAACAGAAGGATCTTTCATTGTACATCATTAAATAGATAAAGATAAGATATTTGTATTGGTAAAAATCTAAGTAGGGATAAAAGTCGGCTAATTCTTATTTTCCAAACATATAATTTATCAAACAGGACAATCAATGCTCATTCCGCCAATTTTTACTGAGTGAGAACCACAGACGTAATAGTCTATCAAAAAAATCCAGAAGGAAAAAATTCCTGTAGTTGGCTGTATACCACGTATCACAAAAAGAGGTTAGTCTTTGTAAATGGGTATATTTATTTAAAAAACCCTTAAAAGGGCTACATCAATAAAACAAACGTTTTCGGACCACACAGTCCATCATCAGGTTTTAAAATAGAAAAATGCTAGGTAACAATGCCTGAGCCACCAAAATACTAGGGTAAAAACCCTTTAAATTATATTTAGTTATAAAAGATTGTACATTGTGTTGTAAAATAACTGTGATGTTCAGTATTAAATTAAATTTGACTAGAGGTAACACATGGCTGAATCGAGTTCCAGAGCCGGTGAGAGAGAACTAAGTTCCCAGCTGTTCTCCGCGTGTAGACCATTTAGGCCATTTTTTATCGAAAGAAATTTAACGTCAGATAGTTGGTGTAAATGTTCGGTGTTATTTGGATGAGATATTTCCCGGACGATAAATTAGTAGACAAGGTAGAATTGAATGGCCTCCACGTTCACCCGATCTCAATCCTAAAGATTATTTTTATTAGAGATACTTGAAAAATTCAGTTTACAAAAACTTAACCAGCAAGTCTAGCATAGCTAAGGCAATGAATTATCGATGAATCTCGAATAATTTCTAGACAATCATGGAGAAATGTGGTAGACGCATTCTACCATCGATTAGAGTGCTGTCAACTCACAATGGAGCACATTTTGAACACTTAATAACGTAACTATTATGGTAAAAAATATTCTAAACTATCAATTGTTACGTTTTAATGTATTTGAAAATAGTATTAAAAAATGTATTGAAACAATTTAGGCGTTGCCAGACTTCTGTTTTATATATTTAAGACCTTCAAGACTACATAAAATCATAAGTGTTACATATGGTTGAACTCGTATTTAATAGGAGATTCCAATAATGACTGAATATACAGGGTGAGGCATTTGAAAAACCAAAGTTACTAGTAATATAAGAGAAACTGAAAATCTGGCAACATTGCAAATATCAAATATGGAATCTCCGTGTCCCAAAATAGGCGTATCTTAAATTTTGTATAATTATGTCTAGTAATTTACGAGATAATTAGCTGTTTCCAGACTTTTGGGCCACTCTGTAGATTAATCCTTCAATCGATACGAACGAACGAAGATCCCAATGTGAAGGATATTTTGCCTGCTACACAGTGCAGTTTTCTGTCAATTGCTAAAGCAGCATTACAGAGCATCTGGAGTCCAAAGAACAGCGTAAACGCAGAACGATTCTTCAGCAAATAATATAATATTGTAGTGACAGATCGAAGAACAGCTTTTAAAGAATCGAATATCGAAATTACAACGATGTTAGCTTTTATTTAATGTTTTTTGCTGTTTTACTCATAATTAAACATAAATGCGAAATTTTGTAATTATAAAAAAAGTAAATGCGAAATTCATGTTTTTTATTTGCGAAAATTGCGTACCTCTACTAATAAGTATAAGTACTCGGTGGAAAATGAAGAATACCTTACAATTAGATAAACTGTAAAAGATTCAAGAATTGAAATGAATCAGTTATCACCAAGGATAGTTGCCCATATACTATGTATAAACTAAATATTCCATAATAAAGAGAATCATTCTAAAAAGGGATCTAAAATAAGATATCTTCGGTAGTTTCTTTAGCTATATCCTACTATTAGACTGAATAACGAGTTAGGAAGTGTTTAACTTTGATTCTGCAATTGTCCATCGGTGCTTTTGTAACTTTCCAAAGTGAGGCACCTTACATCCACCTCTAATCCTCACCTGGGCATATAAGTTTCAAACTTCTTTTACCACACCAGTCCAGCAAGTCGTACCGACAACCATGTCAGCAAATAGCATTACCTGGACTTTCGTTTTCATCGCGATTTTAGCCTTAGGGGTAAGTGGGGCGCGTAATCGAAATAAGAGGCCCCAACAAGAGCCCGTTGATGTTGATGACAGTGCCGAAATTTCAGATCAGTGTCCGGAACCAGATGGGTACTTCGCGGATGCGGAACAGTGCGACAAGTACTACCATTGTCAGAATGGGAAAATAACGGAGAAATTGTGTCCAGATGGACAAGTTTTTAATGACTACAGTTCGGAGTATGAAAAGTGTGACTTGCCGTTCAATATTGATTGCAGCTCAAGGCCCAAATTGCAGGAACCTCAGCCGAGTGAGCACTGCCCCAGAAAACACGGTTAGTCTGTTCAAATTTTCTTTTATTTCTTGGCACAGCTACACAGCTGGAAATATCAAACATATGCAATATATTTTCTGTGCGGTTCTTTTATATTGAGGAACAAATTTTTATTCTAATATTGATTCAGAAAATCATTTATTTTAGTTTTGACGTGTATTCTTTGTATCGTCCTTTGTTTCTTTTTAATTTCTAAAACAAATCATATGCATGTGTCAATGGCATTTATTCGATGTGTTTTTCTTTATTTCTTATTTCAAAACTAACAAGAATGATTTACGCCACCACAAAATGTGAACTATTCTGCTATTTTTATAAACTTAAGTAGTGTTTTAGCATTTCCTAAAATCCGTGATAAAAATATTTTTAGTGTTTCCTAAAATCAGTAAAGGTCAAGATTTTGTTTTAAAATACATAAAGAGATATTTTCTCGGAAATTTTGAAAATAATTTAATATAAATTGGCGAAGGTCATATCGTATAAATCGATTTATATATTTAACATTTACTTTCATTTATTTCAAACACTTTTGTACAGTAATTGATATTGTAATAATTCTTAATTGAAGTGGTGGATTTCAAAATGTCTTAAGAAAAAAAAGTAAATTTTTCAGGAACGAATTTTTTCTATGTTTAAGAATATAATTAAGTGTTACTTTTGAGATTCAGATTAAGACTCAGTCATGTAATTTGCAGGTTTAAATTCTTGTTTCAAGACAATTGAAAATAAGATTTGAACTCAGAATCATGGCTTTTAAGATGTTTTTTTTTTATTTAATTAATGGCTTTGGATAACTTGATCCATTCAGCTACGACAATATGTATTTAACTACTTGAATTTGTTAATGATGTATTGACCTATTGCATTTGTTAACAAAATAGTATTTCGCATTGAGGTAAATTTAAAATATAATGTAAACATCAGTATCACAAGAATCGGTAGATTGACAAGAAACCATATTTTCATTCGTTCCATTCAAGGTCCTAACCAACTTCTTCTTCTTCCTTCTTGTATATATTCTTCTTCCTATCCTTCTAGTTACTTCCATGTTTGACATTCTTTGAATCCATGATATTCATAGGATTCTTCTGTAACACCAAAATTCAAAGGCGGCCAACTTATTCAGATAAACTTGTTTTGGTGTCCAAGCTTCCAACCATAAAGAAGAGTAGAGAACACGTAACATCGAAGCATTCTCAGGCGTAGTTCTAACTTTATATCCCGACAACAAAGAAACTTTTTAAGTTTAATAAATGATGTACGTGCTATTTCAATACGTGTCTTAATTTCTTTGGTTTGGTCTACACTCTCAATTGCAGTATCTTCAATAGTCAATTGGATATTTGCATGTGCAGATTTAGTCATGATCATGCATTTAGTTTTCTTTAAATTTATCTTCAGTCCGTACTCATGACAGCGTTCATTAAGGCGTTGCATTACGTTCTGTAAATCATTGTTGTTATCCGTAATTATTACTGTATCGTCTGCAAAACGTAAGTTATTCAAAACTTCTCCATTGATAGATATACCTTCTATTGAGTCTGAGAGCGCTTTTTGAAATACCGCTTCACTGTAGACATTTAAAAGTAGTGGAGACAGCACACAACCCTGGCGGACTCCTCTCTATATTTTGATATTTTTCGGTGTACTGGCTGTCAACTCTTACCTTGGCAGTTTGATTCCAATATTAAATTAGATATAATTCTCAGATCACGACTGTCAATATTTTTGCTTTTTAATATATCTACAAGCTTTTTATGTTGAACTTTATCAAATGCCTTTTCAAAGTCTACAAAACATAAGTACATATCCTGATTCATGTCCATGCATCTTTGAGCCAGCACATTCAAGCCGAATAAAGCATCTCTTGTACTCATACCATTTCTAAAGCCAAATTGTGTGTCACTAATCTCATATTCAAGAGTTTTAACAATTCTGCTGTGAATTATTTTCAAAAATGTTTTTAAGTGTGTGACTCATTAAAGCTATTGTTCTGTGGTCTGAGCAAGTTGTTGAACTTGGTTTTTTGGTAATTGCTACAAAGGTTGATTGCAGCCATTGTCTGGGGATTGTGGCAGTCTGATATATTAGATTAAAGAGTTCAACCATTACATCAATAACATCTTCATCGATGAGTTTTAATAATTCGATGGGCACCTCATCTGGTCCAGTAGCTTTACCCTCTTTATGTTTTTGATGGCATAGATGACTTTTTCTCTTAATATTGGTGGTTCAGTATCCTCGGTGATTTCTAATGACAGTTTCTTCTCTTTCATCATTAAATAGTTGTTGATGTAAATGGTCCAGTGACATAATCTCTCCTTCATATCAGTAATAATATCCCCTTTATCATTTTTAAGGATATTCGTTTTTGTACGCTTTCTAGAACCTGTCATTTCTTTGATTTTTTTGTGTAAATTAAAGCTATCGTACTTTTTATCCAGATTTTCTATTTTCCTTGCATCTGTCGGAGAGCCACCTCTCTTTTGCCTCTCGAATTTTCTTTCTGATGTTTCTCTGAATTTCTTTGTATTTATTCAGGTCTTTTGCTTTATGTTTTCTTCGTTCTTCCATGAGTTCAAGAATTTCTACTGTCATCCAAGGTTTTGTTTTTTCTTTAAGTGGTTTGAGGGTTTCTTTTCCAACTGACACGAGGGCATGTTGAATTTTCCCCCATTTTTGGTCAATAGTTAGAGTTTCTGCATTATCTTTTTTGACTTTCCTTAAGCTCTCGTTATTTTAAATTTGGTTTCCACATATGTGTTGTCTTGTTTGAGACGTCTTGTATCTATAATTTTCTTGGTGCTAGGGCTGTTGACCTTCTTTAGTTTCACTCTCATCGACAAAACAAACCGGTTGTGGTCGGAGGATATGTCCACTCCTGGATAAGTTTTAGATGATATTATAGAATTTCTATATCTTCTGTTGACGATAATATAATCTATTTGATTTCTGACTATTTTGTTGTTATTGTCAGCTGGTGACCTGCATGTATATAGTCTACGTTTAGGAAGTTTGAACAAGGTATTTGTAATTATGAGTTCCTCATTGTCACATAAATCGACAAGCCTATCGCCATGTTCATTCCTTTCCTCGAGTCCATATCGCCCCACGCAATTCTCCACTTCTCCTTGGCCAACTTTAGCGTTCAAATCGCCCATTATAATATTTATATCTTGTCTTGGTTTATTGGTTTTATTGGTTAGGACTTTTGTGGTAAGCTTAAGTGCGGTGTTCAGTAGATTTATACCTCTATAACTGTTGGGATCTTCTTTATCTCCTTTTTTGAACATTGGTATCATTATGCTGTTATTAACCAACTTAAAGTGAATATTTAGAACCCACAAGGGATTACATAATAGAGTGATACTTTTCACGCTAAACTGCCTTTCATAGTGACTTCATTACAACACAAGACAGGCAAGGGCTAGGAGGTAAATATATAACATAAAGATAGACAGAGGGAACAAAGCCAGATTTATAGATTCACATTACACATTTTAGTACTTTTTAAATATTCCCAAAAAATTTGGTTAAGCCTAATATTATGACGAGAGATATATAAAATAGACAATTAACACGGAGGAAGAGCTATTTGTTCCTTTATCAGATTTTCCAATAGATACTTAATAGCAGCATCATTAATATGCACCCGAACATCCAATGTTTTGATATCGTCAGTGTTACCATTACAATCGCAAAGTTCTGTTTCACTTAAATTAAATCTATGAAGATAGGCTTTAACAGTAGCATGATTAACAAGGCATTTAACAAAAATTTCATATACTCTTCTATTGGGATGACTTCTTGCAGCAAAATGCACAGTACTTAGGTAAAACAGGGTGAATTCTAACACCAGTTAATAGGTTTACCACAACTTGCATTTGATCAAAAATATTAAATCATATTTAAATCTAATGAATATAACTATATTTTAGTTGTCAGCGACGAAAATGCCACTGAACCTCTAAAAATCATACGAACAAGCTGATTTTTGATGATAATGTCAATTTTATCCTATCCAACTTTATCACTCCTACCCCCGGGCCTAAAACTCCCCCGATAGGGGAAGAAGCGGAAAAAAATTGATTTACAAAGAATCTGTATACCCATTTTTATCAATTCCTTAAAAATTCAGCATATAAATTGCAGTTAAGTTAAAAAAATTTTGTGGATCATGACAAAAAGGTTGAGAGCCAATAGCCTAGAGCACAAAATACTTCTATTTTAAACGTCGCATCGATCGAATATTATAAATCACTATCGACAACTGTACTTCTTCTTCTTTGAGTACCGTTCCCAAGTTTTAGGCTTAGGTACCTTCCATGACGATTTGCCGATATCGTTCTCGATCTTGCGCGGCATGTAATAATTCATCTGCTGATAAGCCAGTCCATTGACGAAGGTTTCGGAGCCATGAGTATTTCTTTCTACCAATTCCTCTTCTTCCGTCGATCTTTCCGTTGAGTATCAACTGCATTATCCTGTATCTGCTTCCTCTCATTATATGCCCCAGATATTCGAGCTTTCTCTTTGTTATCATTTTTATTAAGTCACCTCCACCTTGACCTACTCTGTTCAAGACTTCTCTGTTTGAAATGTGTTGAACCAATGATATTTTGAGCATTCTACGATATAACCACATCTCGAAGGCTTCTAATTTGTTTATCATGTTAACCTTCATAATCCAGGTTTCACATCCATACAGTAATACAGGATACACATAAAATTTTAGGCACTTAATTCTCAGCTGTAATTTCAGCATAATTGCTCAGAATAGATCTAAGTGTCATAAATGCTCCTCTTTGCAATTTCTATACGAGTTTTAATTTCTTCATCCGGATTTAGTGTCTCGTTTATCCAATATCCTAGATATTTAAAATGGTTAACTTTTGTTATCGGTTTATTAATGACAATTAGTTGTATAGCACCTAGGTCTTGTTTACTAACCACAAGTAACTTTGTCTTTGTTGTATTTTATGCTTAGTCCGTTTATTAGAGCATTCTCTAGTGACTAGATCTATAAGGAATTGAAAATCTTCGATACTTTCAGCCATGGTTGCGGTGTCATCTGCATATCTGATGTTATTAATAGTTTTCTCCCCCGATTCGAACTCCACATTGCTCTTCCAAGGCTTTGTTAAAAAATTATTTCTGAGTAAACGTTAAACAAAGTTGAGGACAAACACACAACCCTGTCTAATACCTCTTTGAATACAAATTTTGTCTGTATTCTTTGCCGTCTACCAGAATAGAAGCTTCTTAATTCCAATATAGATGTTGTAATAGTGATATTACAGCATCCCAGATATGATAACAGCAGAAATGCTTAAAGCCACAGAAGAAACCGGCGTAAAGTTACTTCATCTACTCTGTAACCAAATATGGCATTCCAAACAATGGCCTGAAGACTGGACAAAATCTACAATAACGACCATACATAAAAAAGGCAGCTTCCCATAAATTCGACAATTATAGAACTATCTCTCTTATATCCCATGCCAGCAAGATAATGCTACATTTAATCAATGAGAGACTGAAAACATTTCTTTCAAAGAGAAATTCCACAAGAGCAAACTGGATTTTACCAAAGGTAGAGGCACTCGAGAACACCTATATACATCTGTTTTATAGATTACCGTAAAGCGTTCGACAGGGTCAAGTGGAGACACATTATGGCGAATACTAAAAAGAAGTAGGCGTACCACAACATCTAATTACGCTTAATAACTGAATTATATGAACACACTACTGGATCAGTTTAAAGTACTTGACACACTTTCGAACGAGTTTCATCCAGAACGGGGTGTCAGACAAGGATGTATACTATCTCCACAATTATTTAACATATATGGGAGTATATTATGCGAAGAGCACTTGAAGGATGGGAAAAGGGCATCTCAATAAATGGTCATAAACTAAACAACCTACGTTTCGCAGATGACACAGCCCTTCTTGCAAATAGTCAAGCAGAGCTGATGGAACTTATACGACTGATCGAAAACGAAAGTCAAATATTTTGGTCTGCAATTAAACATATCAAAGACAAAGATCATGATAGTGGATAGACTACACAACAATCATCCACACATAACCACAATTGACCGGTTCGAGGTTGTGAGCTCATACTTATATCTGGATCATTAATCACAAACACAGGGTCATTACAAGAAGAGATTAAACGTAGAAGTGATCTAGGAAAAGTTGCCACAGCAAAAATGATAAAAATATGGAAGGACTGTCAAATTTCAAGAGCGATAAAGATGAGGTTTGATCAACTGCTTAATATTCCCAATACTGACCTACGGATGTGAATCTTGGACTCTGAGACAATCGGAGAGAAGAAAGATAGACGCCACTGAAATGTTCTGTTGGAGACGAATGTTACGAATTCCTTGGACCGACCGTAGAACAAATAATTCAATTTTAAGAGAGCTAAAAGTTAGCCAACGACTCTCTAGTAAAGTCCCTCTCCAACAACAGAAAACATGGAAAGACTCATAATATAAGGAAAGGTAGAAGGCCGAAGATCACGAAGAGAATCCCCAACAAGATGGATAGATCAAATTACAGGAATATGCCAAAGACCTATGCATGAATTAAAAGAAATGACCAGAGACAGAGATCTCTGGAGACGGACAATACACACATCACGTCGACCACTACACTCCCCCTGGGGGTCAGGATTGAAGAGAGAGAGTTGTAATAGTCTCAGATCTTTATCATCTATTCCAATTATTTCTAGATATTCAAACAGCCTACCATGTTGAATCCTATCAAACGCCTTCTCAAAATCTATAAAACAGACGTAAATTGGTTTTTGTACTTCCCATGTTCGTTGAAGTAGCGTTAACAATGAGAACAAAGCTTCCCTTGTTCCCAATCCTTGTCTGAAACCGCATTGTTTATTTCCCATCGTGTCTTCACATTTCTGCTTGATTCAATTAAGAATTATCCTAAGAAGCAGCTTGAGAGAGTGACTCATGAGACTAATTAGTCTAACTACAACAACTGTACAGATGTGTCAATATTGTTAGCTGTTTTAGTTACAATAAAATTTTATTTAACTTTTACTCTTTTTTTTTAGGTTACTTCGCCCACGACCAGAAAAATATCTGCGACAAATTCTACTTTTGCGTTGACGGCAAATTCAATGCCATCACATGCCCCAACGGTCTAGTCTACAACCTCAAAGCAGGAATCTGTTCCTGGCCTGACGAAGCTAAAAGAAGCGGTTGTACGTCCGACGAAGTTTTCGAGTTCCAGTGCCCTAAGGTAACCGAAGATGTTGCTATCACACACCCACGGTACGCCGATCCCGAGGACTGTCAATATTTCTATGTTTGCATTAACGGAAATGCACCCAGAAGAAACGGCTGCAAACTCGGCCAAGTGTTCGATGATGTTTCCAAACGTTGCGACTGGGCGAGAAACGTACCAGAATGCGCCGACTGGTACAAAGGACGATTGACAGAGCAGCAATTGAAGGACTTGGAAAATCCTCCAACGCCAAGACCCAGAGCCACTAAAGGGAGTAAGAGAAAACAGCGGCCACGTGAGAGAACAGTAGTACAAGACGATGAATAACGTGTGGTTGAGTCTTAGTTGGAAGTTTTAAAAGATAAAAATTTAGTTGAAAAGAAAATTAATTAATAAATAAAAGTAAAAGAAAGTATGAAGAAACTGTGTGTACTTGTTTGGTTTTCTCTTTAGATATTGCTCAATATTAGTTATTTATAATTTTATTTGAACAAGGCATTATTATTCACTGGAATTTTATTTTCTACACTTTTAAAACACTACTAATACAAATTGCATTTTTAAGCAAATTTTTATATATATTAATGAAATAATTGTCCTTCTTAGGCAATTATAATGATCATATTTGTAATATTTATTTACGGAAAACATTAACGGCTCGTCAAAAGTTAGAGGTATTGTTACTACATAGTATTCAAATAAAATCAATTTACAAATATAAATGCAAAATAATTCTTTATTTTACAATATTAAAACATTTTTTTTTTCAAGAGTGTATCCTTCAAAAGCTTTAGTAAAGGGGGTTTTAACGGTTAAACCCCCCAGGGCACTATTCCGACACTGTGACTCACAATTTAAAGACTCAAAATAAATGAAGGTAGCCTAATCTAAGGAAAGCCTAAGGAAAATTCTAGGTATGCTACTGCGCAATGCATTTGCTAACTTTTCACTAAATTATTCAGTACATTTTGGCTGACTTACATCCGAAGTTAATGCCGTAGGTACCTTAACTGCTGAGAGGAATTGGTTGTAGTTTTGTGTAGGTACATATAATGCATGATTAATGAAGTTGGTATCGAGATCTCAGTTTAATGACATATGACAGATGGCTTCCCAGAAAAAAGCTCTAACTCAAGTGGTTGAACGGTTCGAGTTGCATCTTAGTTAAGGAAAAAATATTCTTGGCCGATAGGAACCTAATAATTTTGACTAAAATTTTTGATGACTTCTTTTATGATGCTATAAATCTCTGCTCCATTATAACTAATTTTTACACCAGATTGTGTCGATACGGTTTCGAAATAAAATATATCCTTTATAGAATGACAGTTTCTTAGACATTGAAGGGCTTGTATAAAGACGTTCGCGTTCACTACCAGAAATTCTTCTTAAAAGAGACTCGTGTGAACAGTACAGATTTTCATTCGTCTTTCCCATTTCGACGTTCCAGAGTCCAAGCCACTCTTTTCCGCTTGTGTTTGTATTGTAACTTAAGTCAATATTAATGATGTCTTGACATAAAATTGTTTTTAAATGTCGTCCGTCCATCTGGTAGGTCTTCCACGATTTAGCTTGTCTGCCTTTGGCCGCCATTCTAAAATCTTCTTTGTCCATCTGTTGTCTCTCTATCTTGCGACGTGTCCTGACCATTTCCACTTCAACTTCGTAATCCCTTTTATTACAAGACATTAAAAGAATAGTGACAAACTGGATCGCAGCTGCACAGGACAGAGAAGAGTGGAGACATCTTGAGGAGGCCTATGTTCGACAGTGGACAAATTTGGCTGTGTGTTGATGACATAAAATTGATCTCTGAAAGCCTTTGTCACAAAGCTGCGACTGAAATCGCAATTCTTGTGGCAATCAAAAATATTTCCCGTTCATAATTTTATAGCTCTCTATATCACCCTTCTTATGACATTGTTCAGAGTTTCTGTAAAAAATTCTTTGCCTGCCAATTTAAACCATTCTGTAATATTTCCAGTTTAGTTGTAATGACTAACTAGAGATTTTGCGATAAATTGGACATATCTATTTTCGCATAAATTATATCAGAAATTGGTGCAAATTAATTGTTGCGTATTTAATTATGCTAATAAATAGCCAATATAATGAGTGTAGCTTTTATAGGATTCCAAAGATTACATATAAATTAGAGAAAAGAGGAAGATGGATTCGTGGTATTAATCACTTAGTTATCACATAACCTCATTTTTATCTTCATTATTGGCATAGTACATTAAACCAGCAATGTGTTTGCATATTTCGCGTTTGTTATAAACACATGTGCAACACGGCTTAATCGGCGGGTTACTTTTACTACTAATGTTTTTAATTACATGCTCTTCCACATGGCAAATGTGATTTGACAGTACTAGATTTTTCCCTTTTTTCCATTTGGGGTTGAAGAGATAAATTATGATGAATTTTTATAAACCAACTTCTTATTCCTACATCCATTTTATATATAAACTGAAAAATAATAATTAAAAAACTTATTATTAATAATTGTCAATTTCGTATGTATTTAACAATGTTTAACCTCAAATTGGGAGGTCCAAAACTGTAAAATGGAGGCAATAGAGGTCGCGTCAGTCACGCACGGAGCGAATAATGTCCTCTACGAGAGTTAACTTTTTTTCTTAACGTTCTTAATTAGAAAAATTTCTAAATGATAAAAAAAGTGGTACAGTAAAATAAATACAGTAGAATAAAGTAATTTTATTATTATTTTTTTTTTAATTTACGATTTTCTGTACTATTTAATATTCTTGGTATAAATTTTAATATAATTAAAAAAGTTTACATGTTGTATAATGGACTCTCCTCGTTGAGTAAACGGACTCTTCCAACTATTTCGTGTCGCTAATTTCGTGACATAATAAAATTTAGGAACTGACAATATTAAAAAATACTGAAAAGCTGAGAAATAAATAAGATTTTTTATGGCAGAAGTTTTATTTTAATACAAATAAAAACAATATCCATAACATTTGACGAGTCATTTAATCCGTTTGTATACATAGTTTTCTACAATTTCTGAAAAAAATTAAGGTTTGAAAATATTAGTATTTATTAGATTAAATACTACAATATGTTCTTAAGGAACAAAATATATTTTTCAATTATTTGAAAATGTAGTTTTTGATTTTTTTTTGTACGAGCGATAGTTATTAAATTCTTTTTTTAAATATTTAAGTGGTTTCTTTTCCCTTTCCCTTAGAAAGAAAATATAGATCTTAAAAAATCCGATTTTTTAAAAAACATATTAGTTGTCACAAAAAGCATACCTGGCATTACAAATTTTTCATACTGGCCGCGTGAAGCCACTTAAGCAACTTAAGACTTCTCATAACGTATTTAAGTCCCGTGAAACCGCATTGGATATTGTAAAGCAGGGCATTCACATTACTATATTTGGTCCGACTTGTGGTCCAACCGCCGAAGTTGAAATCCGATATCGGACCGTGAATGGGCTTGCTGGATTGTAGAAAATCTATTGATTTTCATCATTGAGACAACATTGAAAGACATCCCATTCAAAGGTAATATCTCCCAATCATCTGGATATAATCGCAATTCTTCTACTAAATGTGCATAACTGTATGTATGTCTTTTTAGCAACCTATCTTTGCGCCACCACCTACGTTTCTTGTATTTTTTCGTTTATATTCGGTTATACAAAGAGCAAGAGCGCCGCTTAAAGTATATCGTTATCTGACATGTTTCTGATTTGAAAGTGAAACTCATACTGCAAAATTGGTAGGTGTGTGCTCCCATCATTGACGTATAATATATAGACCCGGTGAACGCTTTAAAAAGTGTCCAGAACATGAATACCTTTATTATTGTTTATTGTTTTTGATACGAAGATGCACGAAGTTCATGATTTCTTACGAAGCCACCCAACAACGGTGACGAAGCAGCACGAAGTTGATCTTGTGTTTGAAAACATCATGGACGTATGAAAACATTTTCTCCATTTTGTGTGTTTACATATTTTATGTGACAAGCAAATTTTATTTTAAATTGTTGAGAGTTATTTATTTACTATTTTAGTAAAATGCCATATTATTTTATCAAAATAATTATTTCTCTTATAGACGGGAACAAAAAGAAATCATAAATATTTAATTTTAATTAAAAAAAATAATTATTGTCATTAACATTTAAATGAGCACGCCGCTGTTCTGGTAAACATACCTTCAACCTTGAGCAGAGATCTTTCGGAAACTCGATTATATAGCGAGAATAGGGGAAACGCTTAGTCTATATATTATATGTCATTGGCTCCCATCCACAATCCAATTTTTAACATTATTCTACTGCAATTACATATTACATTCGACCAAAATCGTACTGTGCCATTGGAACGTGAGTGGCGGGGTAACACCGTCATGCTCAATATATCATTCGTCAGGAATAAGTCACAAAAATTTAATGGAGTTTTATCGTAGTCGGCATAAAATTTTGCTTAAATCCTTATGATATTTTTTTAGGTTAGAACCAGTTAAGGCCCGATGGACGATAATAGCGATTTTTTATATTATTTTTACTATTAGAACGACTATCCAATCCAAAGACACGTTTTTATACGCATAAAATATCAGCTGTCCCTCATATACCTTTTAGAACCTTCAAAAGAATGTATAAAATTTTTTCAGCTATTTTTTTCTTTTATTTTATTTATTTTTACGTACAACTAATTAACAATTATTTTAAACAAAACTTTACCTTAAATATGTATATACAACATTCTTAACTTCTCTGAAGGACCTGGTGGGACAATATTTCTCCATTCGCTTCTATTTTGTGCTTTTCTTTTCCAGTCCCTCACCTTCACGTGTTTAAGGTCTTCCTCCACTTTGTTGGATAATCCATTGTTGGTTCTTCTCTCCCAAACATCTTCTGTCTTCCGTTCTCCGAATATGCGTCTCAATATTTTCCTTTGCCATCTTTCCAGAGTATCCTCTTTCTTCTTATTTAATATCCATGTCTCACCGGCATATGTTACTGTGGGTCGAATTACTGTTCTGTATATTCTGAGTTTACCTTGTCTAGAAAAGTATTTTGAGTTCAGTAGGGCTCTTAAACTACCTAATTTTTTATTCCCTTTCGCTATTCTGGCTTCGAGCTCCCATTTCTCTTTTCCATTTTCATCGAAAACTACATCCAAGTATTCAAATTTGTCCACCCTTTTAAAAACTATAGCTTTTTACCACTTACAGACCTTCCACTAAAGTCTTCTTTTTTCCCCTTCTGTCCTTCCCATGATCATATATTGGTTTTGTCTTCCATTTAGTTCCAATCCGAATTTCTGTGCTTCTTCCATGATTTTCTTCACAACTCTTCTTAATTCTTTGTCGGTTTTTGCTAGGATCATTAAATCGTCAGCAAATGTCCACACTGGTGCTCATTTTTCATGATTGTTTCTTCCACCTTCATGTTGCATTTTCTGATTACAGTTTTCTAACACTAAATTGAATAATGTAGTGGATAAAGGATCTCCTTGTCTCAAGCATTTTGCAACCGTTAAATTGATCTGATATGTGACCCTGAAAAGCAATTTCACACTTAAAGTTATTTAATGTCATTTTTACTAGCCGGATCAGTTTCTTTGGTATACCCAAATGTTCCATTGCTCGATACATTTTTGGCTCTATCAACTCTATCATATGCTTGTCTAAAATCCACAAACAAAACAAGCAGGGGAACTTTACCTTCATCACAAGTCGTTTGTATCTCCTTTAATGAAAAGATTTGGTCTACAGTAGATCTGTCCTTTCTAAAGCCGGCCTGATATTCATGTATGATTCTTTTCGTGTAGCAATTTAGCTTATTTCTCAAAATTTTTGCCAAGATTTTGTATACCGTGTCTACTAAGGCTATACCTCTATAGTTTATCACACTTCAGTTTGTCTCCTTTTTTATGCAGAGGGCATATGCGGGCCTCATACCACTCCGATGCCATTATTTCCTTTTCCCCATACTTGCACTAGTAGCTGATATATTTTTCTTTGTAGTTGTTCTCCACCCAACTTGATCATTTCTATGCATATGTCATTTTACCAGGACTTTCTGTTATTTTTCGTTTCTTGTATTGTTGTCCTCCTCTGTAGGCTGCCTTTTAACTATCACATCTTCTCCAACCGTCCAGATGTCTACTGCCTCGTGGTCCACCGCACCATTTAATAATTCTTCAACATGTTTTTTTCCATTCCGTCATTATTTCTGTCGGATCGCTAAATTAAATTTCCGTCTTTACCTTTCATAATAACTACAGTGGCTTTGGTAACCTTTTCCCATCTTTTTAACTTCTTGATAGAAAGACCTCACCTCTTTGTGTTTAAACTTCTCTTCTATCTCTTTTAATTTCAACTCATTGTTGTATCTCTTTTTCAATAATTGATGGATTCCTTCTACACAGAGCTTTCAATCTTCCTCGAATTATTCTATATTCTTGTTTTTTACACTCTCTTTTATCCGGTAATATTTGTTGTCAGATCTTCTTCTTTTACTTTGCTATCGCCTGACACTCTTCGTCAAACCAATCTTTGTTTGTACTTCTCTTGGAGTCGCACTTAACTATTTTCTCGCTAGCTTCTCCTACGGCAGATTTAATTTGTTCCCAGGCTTGATCTGTCCTGTAAATTTTGGTCACATTGTTGTAGAATTTTATTTATTTCCTCTTCATATTTATTTTTTATTTCAACTTCCTTAAGTTTTTCAATGTACTTTCTCTTCGTTTTATGGTTCGATTTCTCTTTTTCTCTGTTTTTTCTTTACTGACCCATTATCACAATATAAGATCTTATATTCATGTATTCGTACTGACCTGGAGTAGTAATTTTTTCAAATATTTCTCTTAACAGTAAAACCTAATTTATAAACTAGCAAACATTTTTAAACGGTTTTAATCGTGAAGAAAAGAAAGTTTCTTCACTGTAATTATTGATAATTACCAAAGTACAAAAACATCGCCACTTTCTTGCTTTTTGTTAACGATCAAGTATTATTTAATAAAAATTTCTAAATAATTCTTGTAGGTGGTTTGTAAGAATGCAGACTGCTTTTCAGTATTTTGAAAGAGAAATTATTTATAGCTAACTAGTGACTCCATAGTAATTAAAGATTCAGTAGGTACCTACAGTTATTGCGAGAACGGAATCTCAAGGTTTTCTTTGTACTATGATGCTGTCAAGAAATTCTTGTTTTTGATCGATTTAGATTTAGTTGCAATATTTGATTAAAAAAGCCGAACGCATTTAAGACACTAAGTATTTGTAAAACATTAGGTACTTTGAAAAATGAAATGTTAGTATGTAATAATAAATAAATAATAATAAAGGAAGTATAATTCCTTATGTAAACAAAAATTTAGTGCAAAGGACTGATTATATCCGTATAGTGTTTAATGATGAGAGCATCGAGTTAGATTCTAACTCGATGCTGTCTAAGTTAAAGAAAGACCACCAATAATACGATAATACAATAACAAACGAAAAGTTGCTGGCCATTTGCGCGTAAATACAAAATAAAGTTTCATGATATAAAGTTGAGTCCATGGTTGTTTTCCCGTACGTCATCATTTAAAACATACGAAATAAATTGGAAAATTACTCGAGTACTTTTCTAATTCAAAGTACAGTTTGTCAAATCTAGGAACAAGGTTGAAAATCTTACAATCACCACGCCCACTTGATGCTCACTAAAATTATCGTAAATATATCAGTATAGATAGAAGTAAATAACCATACAAACAATTTCGAGGGAAATGAAGTGTATCGGAGAAGGTGAGGAAACAATTTTTTTCTTCAAACGTCAAATAATGATGACATTACTTATCTAACTTGATCCTGTAAAGGTCGATTCAGACACATCAGTCCCGTCACAATCTCGGCGCCGAACCGGTCCGGTTTGGTCACAGAACTATTAATTATCTGACAGCTGGGAAACTGTTCTCGCCTGAAGAATGTGAATGCCGGCGCCATATTTCTATTTGTATGACGGATTGTTCGGTTCGGCGCCAGGACTGTGACGAGACGTGACTGATGTGTCTGAATCGACCTTTAAAGTTTGATGTCTCCGCCGGCAGCAGTTTTTTTCCCATTTCTTTACGGCGGAGTGAAAAATGTTGTCATGGCAACAATATGAAACATGTCACAAAGCAACAATACAAATGTCATTA